TCTGCCTCTAGCAGAGTTGTTGATTTGTTTATATGCCAAGGCTCAGAGAGAATGCATCTTTAGGGTATTTAGATAGTCCTCCCCTGCTTCTTGTTAACAATATTGAGCCAGGACTTCAAAGAGATGGAAGTTAGTGCCCACAATCACTGCTGTATCCTGAATCCCCTTTGGGTCTGGGTACACCAGAGCAGCAGCAGTCACCTCCTCTTTGACCCCCATGACCTCCTCTGGAAACTTTAATCAGATTATAATAAAACCACTAAAGGGGTACTCTTCTTGGCACAGCCCACACAAGTCGGGACTGGTTTTGTTCAATATCTTCATCAACGACCTGGAAGATGGCATAGGGTGGGTGCACCCTCAGCTAGTTTTCAGATGACACCAAGCTGGGAGGAGTAGTAGATACATATGCTGGAGGGTAGGGCTAGGATTCAGAATGATTTAGACTAATGGGAGGATTGGGCCAAAAGGAATCTTATGAGGTTCAACAAGGACAAGTGCAAAATGCTGCACTTAGGATGGAACAATCCTATGCACTGATACAGGCTGGGGCCTGACTGGCTGGGCAGCAGCTCTGCAGAAAAGGGCCTGGGGGTTACAGTGGACAATAATCTGAATACAGCAAAAGCTCTGTTATCTGGCATCCCCCAGGAATGGGGGATGCTGGTTAATCAAATTTACCATGTCAGTGTGCCAGTGTACTACGCGTCCATGTCAGTGTGCTAGGGGAGAGGGAGGAGGGCCCCATGCAGGCTGCTTTGCCCCGGGCCACAGTTCACAAGGAAGAATCACAGCAAGTGGGACTCGGCTTGTGGTGGCGAAACTGGAAGTGGGACTTCCGGTCTTGCTTTTGCCGCATCCCTTGGAAGATTGACAGACGCTGGTTAGTGGAGCTTTCCTGCTAGTAAAGTGCCGGATAACATGGCTTTTGCTGTATGAGTCAACAGTGTGTCGTTGTTGCAAAGAAGGCTAATGGCATATTAGGTTGACTTGGTAGGAGTGTTGCCAGCAGTCAAGGGAAATGATTCTTCCCCTCTATTTAGTACTGGTGAGGCCACATCTAGAATATTGTGTTCAGTTTTGGGCCCCCCACTACAGAAAGGATGTGGACAAATTGGAGAGAGTCCAGCAGAGCGCAACAAAAATGGTGAGGGGGCTGGGACACATGACTTATGAGGACAGGATGAGGGAACTGGGCTTATTTAGTCTAGAGTAGAAAAAACTGAGAGGAGATTTAATAGCAGCCTTCAACTACCTGAAGTGGGGTTCAAAAGAGGATGAAGATAAACTGTTCTCAGTGGTGGCAGATGACAGAACAAGGAGCAATGGTCTCAAGTTGCAGCAAGTGAAATTTAGGTTAGATATTAGGAAGGACTTTCTCACTAGGAGGGTAGTAAAACACTGGAACAGGTTACCTAGAGAGGTGGTGGAATCTCCATCATTAGAGGTTTTCAAAACCTGGCTTGACAAATCTTTTGCTGGGATGATATAGTTGGGAGACGGTCCTGCTTTGAGCAGGCAATTGGACTAGATGACCTCCTGAGGTCCCTTCCAGTCCTCATTTTCTGTTTTCTAAGTCAAGACCAGTCAAAGTGCATGGGCACGTGTCTCAGACTGATCTTAACATGACTGAAAAATGACAAGTGCTTGAGACCCACTGTCCAGCATTACAGGACACTTTTTCCTCAATCCTCACTTTGACTTCTGCTTGGTGTCCCACTAATTCTGTAGGGAGCATTCTAGGCAAACCCGGAGGGTGGGAATCTTGGGATCTCAGGGGTTCAGGCAACTCCCCAACCTTATCCCACTCTCATTTCCCAACTCTGCCCAGCCAGCCCTCAATTTCTGCCATACCAGGGTCAGATTCTTAACATTCCCACACTTGCTAGCCAGATGCCTGTCCTCTTCACACTTGGAGCAAAACAGGGAACCACCATTATTCTTACAGGGTTGCAGGGTGACAGTCTCCTGGGAGACCCCAGTGACCCCAATGGGCATGTAAGGGTTCAGACCTGTACAGCCTGCTTGAGAACACAGCCACTTGTTTCCCCAAAATCCCATACTGACATGGAACATCTTACATATCCACTACCAAGGCCCTAAGGACTGTGGACTTAGGGGTGGTCTTGCTATGGAACTGGATAGACTCCTTCATTGCTGGCCACCCCTCTTCCTCCTGGATCCCTTTTACCAGTTGACTAAAACCCGAGGGACTGGCTTTGGTTAGCAAGGTTAACGTTTACCAATATCCTTTCACCATATACCATTCCTATCAATACCTGGTTAAGTCTAGCCAGGTTTGCTCCTTCTCAGAAGTGAAGCCTTCGCTGACTATCCACTTCGGCAGCACCTTCTCCAGCTGCAAAACATAAGCTGAGGCTTTTTCTCATTTATCTTGGTAGGTACTATGAAAGTTAATGTACAATTCATTGGCCCCTTCTGCTCCTCCAAACATACCTAGTAAAACCTCAAAACACCCTTTGATAGTGATCACAGGATCATTACATTTTAATGCACAGACCACTCCAAAGGCTGGCTCCCTGAGGCTCTCCATTAGGCAGCACCATGTGTCCCAACCTGGTACATGCCACTGCATCAGGGTCTCTGATGTGTGGGAATACCAGGCCTCAAACGGCTCATTACCAGGCAATGGGGGATCCGCCCCTGAAAACACCCTAAGCTTCTTATACAGAACCGACTCTGGACAGGGCTGCACAGCCTCCTTTATAGGCTGCCCCAGTGCCATTGATCCAACGGCTCCCTCAGGGTTAGCTATGTTCATTGAGGGGAGGGGAATCCACCATCCCAGACATGTCTGCTTTGACCTGCTATTCCAACTTGACTACCCTTTCTGCATCGGTCACATCCCAGATAGGGGTAGGTGGATTCTAGCTCCTAAAAGTCTTTGCTCCCCCTGGCCATTCACGCCAGAGGATATTTTACCCAGATACAAAGCCCCATCTTTCCATGTGCAGAGCACATGGCCGGAACAACAGGAGTCATCTTGCCCACAAGGCCAAAAGACATGTTCTCCTTAGCAACAGGCTAGAGAACAGGAAAAAGGGGAAAAAAAGATAAATACAGAAAAACATAGTAGACAGGAACCAAAGGCATATGCCCTGCCATACACAGCACAAGTGTGTGTTTGGGCATTACGCTAGTAAATTCTATGTATTTTTAATTTTGACTAACCTTCATGCCATGGAGCTTCTGGTACAACCTGGCTGTATGTGTAGCCATTCCACAGTCCTTCACCCATCTTTCTTGTCTTTTGAGACTAGAAACTCCTAGGAACAGTGACCACTTTTTACTTTGTGCTCAAACAGTGCCTAGCACTGTGGTTCTCAGTCTTCTTAGACTCAAGGCACTCCTCCATAACCTTTGTGAGTTGAACAGCAGTCAGTTAAAAAAACTAGCTTATTGATTACAATGCAGAAGGGTTGGGAAGTGAGAAGCAGAGGAATAGTTGGGCAGGGAAGAGCATGAGCCTGCCTTTCCCTGCTTATCTTCTCACAGCTGGATTATCACCTCAAACCCCCAGCACCTTTCACAGATTCATGCAGATTCACAAAAGTTTAGGGCTAGAAGGGACCTTGTGAGATCATTGGGTCCAGCTCTCCTGCTCTGCGCAGGAAAGACTACTGGGGTCAAATAACCTCAGTTTCAAAGGATCTTATGGCACCCTTGGGTTCCCTGACACCCTATTGAGAACCACTGACCAGCAGAAGGGGCTAACACTATGTGGCAGGACTGCCACGCAATTAGTACAATGTAGTGCTGCCCTGGCAATGGGGCAACAGTCACTGACACCAAGTGGGATGGCAAAGCAGAATTTCTCCTTCTCAGTTTAGGAACAATTTTAGGAACATTTCCCCCTAGTTTAGGTATTTCCATATTTCTAAGTTCCTTTCTAGTCACCAGTGTTTACTGTGAATCAAAGGTAGCTTCAAGCTTGCAAATTGCCAGCAAGGCTTTGCATTTCATATATCTGTGGCCCGACCTCCCGCAGGCCCAAGGCCCATGCAAGGCACAAAGAGCATATGCCACCAGTGGCTATGCATAGGGGGTGCACGTGCACCCCCTGAGAGCGCTGGTGCACCCCCTGACATATTGCACTCCCTGCTTAGGTGACGGGCAGGGGGGCAAGCAGGAGTGCCAGTGGCCCCCCTATGAGCACTGGCTGGGGAGTGGGAGCACCGCGGCCGCTTCCTGGACGGCATGATCGGCCACGGGGGACTCCCCCCAGTTGCTGACTGGGCATGTGCCCCCCCGACTAAGGTGGCACCAGTCACTCATGTGTGTCATGTGTCATGTGTCACATGTCACAGCCAAGTGGGTGACTTCAGACAGCGCTGCTGAAGGAAACCCTGAGGCAGGAGGGCCAGCTGGCACCTCGGAGCCTAACCCGCCCAGGGAGGCCTGAGCTTCCGCAGACGACAGGGGCTAACAGCACCTGAGCAGCGGGCCGTTGCCCAGGGAAGCTCTCGCCTCCCTCAGCCACCTGGGCTAAGGTGCCAGCCTGCCCCGCCAAGGCCACCCCCGCCTCTCTCTGGTGGAGGGAAGGCAACGCTGCTCCCAGCTTGGACACGACTTGGTTGGCCGAAGTGGGGAGGCTCCCGCGGGCACTTCAGCCCCGCGGGCTTCTTGGGAGCGGCGGCGTC